CTCCAAGGACCCACCAGGTTTAACCCTCTCCAGGATGAATCTGCTTGTTTTCCTAGCAGTCCATGGTACATTCAATACTCTTCTCCAGCACCACAGCTGAAAGGCATCAATTCTCCTTTGACCCACCTAACTTTAGCTATAATATCCCTAGTACCCCAATCTCTCTTAAACCCAGACTGCACATCTGGCAGTTCTCTGTTGATGTGATGTTCCAGTCGTTTTTGGATAATTTTTGGCAGAAGTTTGCTTGAATGTGACATTAATGATATTTATTCATTATTCAACTTTAACTTGAATATGAAGCAAAATAAAATATCATGGTTTAGTCAGACATACCTTAGTCTTTAAACAGACATCCTTGCTCTTTTTCACTTTAAAGAGGTCCTTCCTTGACAGTTGATTTTCCAATGTGCTGAAATCCTGATGACACGTGGTTCTAATCCACCAGCTGCTCTGCGGGATAAGACTGGGCAATCTCCTCCCATGGGATTAACTTGCCTCTGAAAACCCACCAGAGGGTCAGCTATGGGTCGGTTCCACAACAACAACAACAATAATCTGTATGTGTGCTGGGTTTGTGTGTACATACGAATGTATATAGAGAGAAAGGGGGGTGAGAAACAGACTCATTTAAAGGAAAATTATCCACCTCAGGAGGCTTCTCCCAGTTCATGTAGCTAGAGATCAATGAATCCGAGGTTGCCAGGTTAAGTCAGGCTCTTATTTGTTTGTTTGTTTTTGTAATGCAGGCTCTTGATTCGAGTGTTAGAACTTAAGATGGTAAGCCTGATGCAAGATTCAGATTGGAAAAAAATCTAAGGAGTACACTAAATCACAGTCATGAGTTTCTTTTATACAACTGGAGAAAAAGAATCATGACTAGATCATAGGTGTTGGCAGTTATAATCCATAATAATTACAAACAGAAGTACAGAAATGGGCAGAAAACTATGACTGAGGTATATATACAATTACAGATTGAAAGGGGTTACAGGAGGCCTCAGCACTCCTTGCCCTTAAACCGACAGGTAAGCCATGCCCTGACCACCATAATTATTTTCCGTAAATTGTTAAGGACAAGCCCAGGTGAGTGCCTGGGTTTTGTTTGCAATCCCCTAGGTCAAATTACTCCTCCCAGGATTTATCTGGCAGTTATGCTCTACTTTCAACTGTTCTTTTTCTGAGGCCAAGGCCATGTTATTGTTACGTGCTGTTGAGTCAACAGCGATTCTATGACTGGAGCTGAACCTTTCCCTATTCTGAATCAATCTCACTGACTCTGGCACATCTAACCCCATTGTCACAACCACTATGTCAATCCATCTCATCCAGGGATTTGCTCTCTTGCACTAACCTTGAACTCTTCCAAGTATGATGTTCTTCTCCAACTAAGCTGGCTCTTCCTAACAATATGCCCATAGTATGTGAGATGGAATTTCAAAATATCCAAGGAACAACCTGGTTTCACCTTCTCCAAGGCAGATCTGTTTGTTCTCACTGCGGTCCACGGTATTTTCAATACTCTTCTCCAATACCACAGTTCAGAGGTATCAATCCTTTCTTTTGTTATCCTTAGCCATCACCCAGCTCTCAGAAGAGAAGACGATGGCTTGAATCAGGTGCGCTTTATTTTTAGACTGACATCATTGCTCTTTAGCACTCTGGAGAAGTCCTTGACAGTGGATTTTCCCAAAGCAATTCATCTTTTGATTTCGTGACTGCTTGTGTTAAGGGTGTTGATTGTGGATTCAAGCAAGATAATACCCTCAATCTTTTCTCCATCCATCATGGTGTTGTCTATTGGCTGAGTGGTGAGAATTTTAGATTTTTTATGTTGACATGCAATCCATATTGAAGGCCACAGTCCTTGATCTTCTGCAGCAATTGCTTTTACATCCTCCTCACTTTTAGCAAGCAAAGCTGTGTCACCTGCACAACTTAGGTTGTTTGGTAAGTCTTCCTTCAATCCCGATGCCACATTTCTCATAAAGTCCAGCATCTCAAATGATCTGTTCAGCATATAGCTTGAAAAGTGTACGGTAAAAAAGGAACAGAGAACCATATGAAGTGAAACAAAGGAGTTTCTTACCAACGCTTGGGCGGGTCTGCTATCTTGGGCCAGAGAAAGGCAGAGTAAGGCAGTAAAGTAGTGCGTGGGGAAGCTACAGGTAAAGTTTTATACGCAGGGGGTTGGAGGTAGGGTGGTCTGGTCTGTGGTCAGCTCTCCGTGGAGGACGCTGACTGGATGCCCTCTGCCCATTCCCATAAATGGAGTTACTCAGGACCCTCTGGTGGGTTGTGTCAAAGCTGACTTAGGCAGGATGTGGCCAGTGATAGTGCTCTCTTCTGATTGCATGTAGCCATCTCCCACCAGGCTGATTGGAATGTCTCCCAAAAGGTCTGTCAGTGTGCAATGTTGTCCAGCTCAGAGGTTGCCTTTTCAAAAAGGTATGGAGAAAAGATACATCCCTGATGCACTGCTTTCTTGATTTTGAACCATAAAGTATTTCCTTACTGTATTCAGACAACAGCTTCCTGGTCTAGGTATAGTTTCACATGAGCCCAATCAAGGGTTCTAGGATTCCCATTCTTTTCAATGTTAGCCAGTTTGTTGTGATCATGCTGGGTAAAAAAAAAGGTTAGACAGAAAAGAGGAAGACCTTCAAGGAATTTATTTGACACACAAAGGGCTGCACCAATGAATTTAAGCTCAGCGTTGATTATGAGGATGGCACTGGATCAGGCAGGGTTTCTTTTGGGGTGCATAAGATCACTATGACAACACCTTGTAACTTGTGCAATAAAGCGAGTCTCATGAAGTTTTTGGCTATTTTAAAGTTATGTTTACTATAGTCTATGAAAGGTGCCACAGCATTATGAAAAAGTTTGAAAAATTGTTACAAAAGGACATGCAGTGAACAGCATGTACTGGAAATGTGGGGAACAGACTTGCTCAACAGAGGTTGCCACAAAACTTCAGTGTTGTTGTTGTTGTTTAATGCCGTCGAGTCGTAGACGACTCATAGCGACCCTATGCACGAACAGCCTGAGCACTGTTCGTACATAGAGTTTCCAGAGGCAAGCCATTTTGGAAGTGGATGCCGCTCCTGCTTCCAGGCTTGATTTAGTCGGGAAGCTCCAGCCAACACTGTCCACCATGGGTGCCCATTACCACGACTGGCACATCACTGTCACAGGCTTCAGCATCACAACAACCACGAGTTACCTCTGTACAGCAACACACAGACCAGTGCTAAACCACCTAGAAGAATGTTTGACAGGAAGACAATTTGAACCTGGCCGAGGGCCACAGATGACAATCACCCACCTTCGGCTTGGTAGCACAGCTTCCTTCCACTAGGCCAACGTAGCTCTCTCTTGGTCGTCATCACTGTTATTGTTGTTTAATGCCGTGGAGTCGTAGATGACTCATAGCGACCCTATGAACGAACAGCCTGAGCACTGTTCGTACATAGAGTTTCCAGAGGCAAGCCATTTTGGAAGTGGATGCCGCTCCTGCTTCCAGGCTTGATTTAGTCGGGAAGCTCCAGCCAACACTGTCCACCATGGGTGCCCATTACCACGACTGGCACATCACTGTCACAGGCTTCAGCATCACAACAACCACGAGTTACCTCTGTACAGCAACACACAGACCAGTGCTATACCACCTTGTTTAGAATATGTAAAAAAAAAAATGCAGTATCTGTAAAGTGCAATAAAAACAAGATGTGCCTGGGTGATGATGTAGTTGATTCATTTGAACCCCCTTTATGTAGCAGTAGTAATGGACTCTGCAAGCTTTTCTTTGGGAAGCCAAATGCTAGTCTTGTTTTACCAGGTGGGTTCGAAGAAGCCAAGCAATTAACTGCATCACCCACGAACCTCATTGGACATAAAAGATTGAACATTTGAGAGTCAATTACCATGAGGCCTGTTGGTCTAGAGGTTTAAGATCTCGGCTCCTAAAATGAAGCTCAAAGGTTGTAGTCCAATAAAGGGAAAAAGATGTGGCAGACAGCTTCGGTATTTACTCCCTGGAAAAACAGAGAAAGATTCACAGTCTGTCAGCAATTCTACCCAATTGGTTGCACGCCAAGGCAGTGCTTTGATTTCATTGGTACTGGGCAAGGTGCATGCATTTCTTTGGGGAGTAAGTATCTCGGAACAATCCACCTGCAAAAATCTTTTTGGCTGAGAATCCTTTTGGCAAAATCCTTTGGGGCTTTGGTGTTGCAACGGGGGCGGGGGGGCGGAGCGGGGAACACAGCCATAATAACACAGAGTGGTTTGCAGGACAGGAGGGGAGGACTGACAGTAGGGTTAGCGAGGCGCAGGTACGCGACTTTGACCCCGTGCAGATCAGAACGCCACTGACAAGCGCACGTACACCGCGTTCGCAGTTCAGCTGGGTGCCCTCGTGCACCCCTCATCCAACCCTATCATTCCAGGGCGACACCAGGTCATTGGTGAATGCCTTTCAATTCTTTCAAGCAAGCGTGCCGCGTGACAAGTCTTAACCAGTCAGAGGCAAAAGCGGGTGGTTCCAAAAAAAAAAAAAAAAAGCCAGCCGCTTCCTGCTTCCGTCGCGCACTCCTCTTCCTGTCCGCGCCCCGGGAGCTCTGCGCTCCCACTGAAGTTGAGGCTATCGTGGACGCTCGTCTGTCTACGTCCAGACGCGGTTCCTAGCGTGTGGTCCTTTTCCTGCGCATCTCCGGCACCATGGCCACCCCGGACTTGTCGGCTAACCTTCAGGAGGAGGCCACCTGCGCCATCTGCCTCGACTACTTCACGGACCCGGTGATGACCGACTGCGGCCACAACTTCTGCCGCGAGTGCATCAGCCGCTGCTGGGGCCAACCCGAGGGCCCTTATGCATGCCCTGAGTGCCGGGAGCTGTCCCCGCAGAGGAACCTAAGGCCCAACCGCCCGCTCGCCAAGATGGCCGAGATGGCGAGGCGCCTGCACCCGCCGTCGCCCGTCCCGCAGGGCGTGTGCGCCGCACACCGGGAGCCGCTGGCCGCTTTCTGCGGGGACGAGCTGCGCCTGCTCTGCGCTTCGTGCGAGCGTTCCCGGGAGCACTGGACGCACCGAGTGCGGCCCCTGCAAGAGGCAGCCGACGACCTCAAGGTGGGAACCACAGAGCCGCAGGTGTTCCGGCGAGCGGGGCAGGGGGGCTTCGTGCTTGCTCCAAGCAGGGGCGTCTGAAGTGGCCTGCAGCAGTGGGACCAGTGGAGGGCTTGTGCAGGGAGATGAGGGGCCGGCCTTAGGTGACGTAGGCCCTTTGCATGCGGACAATTTCCGAGTGTTAGAGAATTGGAGGTAAGCAGAAACTTGCACCGACATGCATCGATATAAATAAGTCTTTTCTGTTGAGAGTAGGGGTGGGGAACGGAAACAGTGAGGAAGCTACTACTGAACTAAAGGACGAAAAGAAGCACACGGTGCAGAAAGGGCCTAGGACCTTTCTGCTTTGCTGGGTATGGTACAGGGAATACTTCTGTCGGCATATGCGTTGTCCCACAACCACTTTTGGCCCGAGATTAATTTGCGCTTGTCCTCCTGTTCCAGTAATGCCTTCCTAAGATCTGAACCAGATCTGGTAGTGAAGAGCATGAGGACCTCAGGAGCTGGTGTTGTCTCCTTAGCCACCAGCTCCTTGAAACCCCAGGTATTGCAGTGTTTTTCAGATGGCAATATGCGTTTTGCAGCCTGGCCAAAGTGTATGTTAAAGGGTGCGCCAAATAAATAGTCTAATATTGAAATCAATGTTCAGCCAAAATCTGTCACTACAATTTCTAGAATGAGGTGATAAATGTTTCCTTCTCACACTGTTTTTTGGCTCTAAAGTTGGTATAAGATCCTTGTAAGGTGTGTGAGGACATGGATTCTAAATTGATTCTGAGGTGTACTAACTAGTACGCAGGAATGTTACTCATTAGGTCTAAGCCTTGCATGTTTTACCCTCTGACTAAGCTGTAACCCCTCAGCACTATTTAGGAACTTCCCTTACAGATCTGAAAGGGGAAGGGAGAATCTCATGAAATAGCCCTTGGCTTTTTCCATGCTGTTATCTACTTTTTAAAATTATTTAAGTAAGGGATATTCCACCAAGTACTTTTATATGCCACCCACGGGCTGTATGCAGAGTTTGGAATGCCGTAGGGTATAGACTTCAGACCAAGTTATGCATACATTTGCTGGTACAGGGACCCAGAAAGAACAGCTCCAATGATGGAATCTGTCATTTCAGTAGAATGAGTATTTAGGAATCCCTGGCTTTATCTCACCTCACAGAAGGAGCCCATTCTCCCTCCACAAGCCTGTCCCAGTATCATAGACTCTGACTCAAGCCAGTTTCCACCATAGTATGACCTAGCGTGCATCAGATAAAAGTAAACAGCCATGGGAAGCAGAGATTCTCTCTGAGACATTGTAGGCAGACACATAAAGAGACTGTCTAAGACTGGGTTGAGCAGGTCAGTCAAGTTCAAAGGAAAGTTTACATTCTGACCTCAGCTAGAGATGTGTATATGCACATAACTAAATGTAAGAGCTTTATTATATTGGTTGCATTCCAATATTTTATGCTCTAGTACATTTTTTTTTTCAGAAATGCTGTTTCCCCCCAAATTGATGATGACTGACAGAGGCGGTGACTGTAGTTTTAGAAGCAGTGGTGGGAGTGGAGACATAGAAGGGAGAACTTGGGAGATGAGAGGGTATATGGATGGATGGGGGTAAGGCCTGTGTTTTCTAGAGGCGACTGGAGGCAGGGTAGAGAGACTGTCCCATGGCCAGGTGTCCAGCAACTGGAGAGTGAGCAAGAACTTGAGCTGAGGCAGTGGCAGCAGAAGTAAAAAGAAGTGTGGAATTGGAAAAGTCCTTCCTGTTCTTGAAATGCCTGATGAAAGTCTTCTGTCACAGTCTTCTGTGCTAAAGCTGATGGTCAAGTGGTCTAAATTCACATCTGGGTCTTGCCACAGAGACTCTTATTATTATCATATGCAGATAACTTAAGGGGGCCTCCAACTAAGGAGTAAAATAGGAGGAGAAAACCAGAAGCTAGAAAAGAGTGCAAATAGGTTCATCATGCTTAGTAAGGTGGAGGGGTCATCAAAAGAGGAAGACCCTCAACAAGGTGGACTGACACAGTGACTGTAACAATGGGCTGAAGTATATCAGAGAGGATGAGGATGGTTCAGGAGAGGACAGGGCACAGATCTCCTGTTCATAAGTGTCACTGTGTACTGTGGTTGACTGATGGCTTAACTGAGTCAGAATGCTCCTTAGAATCGATGCTAGTGAGACTGCATCTCACGTACTTTGGATGTATTACCAGGAGGTGTTAGTCCTTGGAGAAAGACTTGATGGAGTGTCAGCAAAAAGAGAGGAAGATTCTCAGTGAGAAAGACTGACTGTGGCTGCACCAGTGGATCCAGCACAGTGGAGATTGTGAAGACAGTGCAGGATCAGACAGCGGCTCTTTCTGTTGTATGTTACTGGGAGTCACAGTCGACCTGACAATACCTAACAACAATGGCTTACTGTGATTGAGCAGAATGACAAGTACAGGACTTGTAGAGATGCTCAGGAATTGGGAGGAAGGAGCCTGTCACTTGTGATGACAGTGGTTCCCGTGGGAAATTGAACTTCCCCTGGACCCTGTGAACAGACAGAAAAGAGGAGGTGCTTGGAAACAAGATAGGAGGCAGAAATGAGCTCAGTGGCTTCAGCAGCCAGCTGTGGGGGGTCATGGAAGTGTAGAAGGCCATGTTTGATTTGGTTGCGCTGCAGGAAACCTGTCTGCTGATAGCCCTGACCTGAGCTTGGAAAGGTAACAAATCAAAAGCGATTTGAGGCATTGTGGTTGAAGGTGAGAAAGAGGTCCCATGTGAGAATGTTTAAGGGAAGCCACTAGTCTCATTGGTAAATGAGGATGGGAGGTTGAAATTTTTAAAATTCAGTGATAAATGACAGATGCTGCCCATGACACTGAGACCAGGGTCATGTTGGGACTGGCCACTACACACTGGAAGACAGCTTGTCTCCCTCTTTTGTCAATTTTTCCCACTGTTTGCTCTTGGACACAAGTATGGGAATTTAGTCCTGAATGCATAGGTTTTGTGCCATGGGGATTGTCTGTATAGCCCAGATACCACGACAGGGACAGCCTGGAGGGAGTAGGCCATAGTAACTGAATGTGGCTTGCTGCCTGGCAGTCTACAGATTGCTGAACAGGAAGATAAAGGTCTCAATGCCTTTAACCAATCACTATACACTCTCTCTCTACAGGGGAAACTGGAGAAGTCTCTGGAACACTTACGGAAGCAAATGGAAGATGCACTGCTGTTCCAGGCGCAGGCAGAGGAGACCTGTGCCTTGTGGCAGGCAGGTGGCTGCGCCTACCCTGGGCTGCTGAGATCTCGGGGATAACGGGGCAGGCAGCAGGGGCCATGGGATATCTCTCACACTGGAGGCCTCAGCACATAGCAGTGTCTGCTCTTTGGACACTCTCTGTTGAAACTTCCCTCCTTGGGAGCCATGTTGATAGGATTTTTATATGAGATGGTATCTCTGCTCTCAGAACTCTGTTCATAACCCAAAACTCAGGAACTGTTTCAGTCAGATGTTGTTATTGTTAGGTGCTTTCCGATCAGTTGCAACTCATAGCAGCCCTGTATACAGCAGAACAAAACAATGCTCTGACTTTTGTCATCTTCACAATCATTGCTGTGCTTGAGCCCATTGTTACCGTGACTGTGTCAATCCATTTCATAAGAGTTTTCTTTTTCTCTAACCCTTTAATGTACCAAGAATGATGTCTTTCTCCATGATTAGTCCCTTCTGATAACATATTGCAAGTGTATGAGACAAAGTTTGGTCATCCTGGCTTCTAAGGAGAACTCTAGCTGTATTTCTCTCAAGACAGAGCTGTTCCTTCTTGGCAGCTCAATATTCTTCACCATAACTCAAATGGAGTATCCATCTAGTTCTCCTTCCTTTATTGTACAACAATTTTACATACAGATGAAAAGACCATGGCTTGCGTCAGGCACATTTTAGTCTTCAAAACACTTTTTAAAGAGATCTTTTGCAGTGTATTTGCCTACTGCAGGTCATTGTTTTATTTCTGGCTGCTGCATCCATGGGCATTTGTTATGGATACATAATCCTTGAAAACTTCGTCTGTACTCTGTTTATCATGATGTTGCTTAGTGAACCAATTGTAGGGACTTTTGGAGCTTTTTGTCTTGAATTATAATAGTTATTGAAAGGTTTTGATCTTCAGTAAGTACTTCAAGTTTTCTACATCAGCAAGCAAGGTTGTATCATCTGAGTATTGTAGGTTATTAAGCAGTTGTCTCCTTATCTTGATGTTGCATTCTTCTTCATACAGTTCAGCTTCTTGAATTATTTGTTCAGCATACAGATTAAATAGGTATGGTAAAAGGATACACCCTGACATACACATTTCCTGATTTTTAAATCATGCAGTATCAAATTACAGATTCTTGGCCTATGTTTAGGTTTTGCATGAGCACTATTAAGTACTCTGGAAATCCCATTCTTTATGATGTTATCCATAATTTGTTAAGATCCATACAGTCGAATGCATAGTAAAGTATGGATAAACATCTTTCTGGCCATCTCTTTCAGCCAAGACCCATCTGACATCCGTAGTGAAAATCCTTGTTGTTTTTCTTTAGATTCCAACTTGAATTTTTGACAGTTCCCTGTTGATGTACTGCTCCAGTAATTTATTAATTATATTCTGCAAGCTAATACTTGTGTGTGATATTAATGATACTGTTCTGTCATTTCCACACTCTGTTGGATCACTTTTGGAATGAGTATAAACGTGGACCTTTTCTCCTCAGTTGGCCAGGTAGCCGTCTTCCAGACTTCTTGGCACAGGTGGGAGTGCATGTCTGACACTGCGTTCGTTTGTAGAAAAATCCCAATAGGTGTTCCATCAGTTCTTGTAACCATGCTTTATGACAGTACAGCTTAGATTTCTTCTTTCAGTATCATTGGTTCTTGATCATAAACTTCTTCCTGAACTGTTGGAACAGTAACCAATTCATTTTGGTATTTTGTTACCTGCTGTCAAGTTGGAATTGACCAGAGGCTATAAATTGCATGGGAGGAAACTGCCCATCATTCTCCCATGAGCAGCTAGTCAGTTCATACTTACCTGCCTTTGGGTTGACAATATAGCTTTTTAGCACTGAACCACCAGAGCACCCTCATTCAGTATTTGTTTTTATTGTTGTTAGGTGCCATCAAGTCGAGTACAACTCATAGCAACCCTGTGAACAGCCAGCCTGAACCCTACCTTATCCTGTGCCATCCTCACCATCTCTGAAACACTCAAGCTCAGTGAAGAAGTCATCGTTGTCTGTTCATCTCCTTGGAGGTTTTCCTCTCCTTCGCTGATTCCCCTAACTTACAAGCATGATGTCCCTCTCCAGTGAATCACTTCGCCTGGCTACAAGTCCAGAGTATGAAAGACAAAGCTTTGCCGTCTTTGCCTCCAAGGAGCACTCCGGCTACAACCCCCCAAGACATATCTGTTCTCTTTGCAGTCCGTGGGATATTCAGTATTCTTTTTCCAGCACCACAACTCAAAGGCATCAATTCTTCTGTCATCCTTACTCAGAATAGTCCAGCTCTCCGATGTGAAGCAGGTGATTAAGAATACTCTGGCCTGAATTACACCTTAGTCTTCAAACGGACATCATTGCTCTTCAGCATTCTGAAGAGGTCCCTGACTACAGACTTGCCCAGTGCAATACATCTCCTGATTTCTTGACTGCTGGTAGTTGATTGTAAATCCAAGGAAGATGAAATTGTTGACAGCTCAGTCCTTTCTCCATTTGTCATAATGTTACTCTTGGTCTTGTGGTGAGGACCTTTGTTTTCTTGATATTGAGATATAATCCATATTGAAGGCTGTGGTCCTTGATCTAATATAAGAAGTGCCTCAAGGCCTCCTCATTTTTAGCAATCAAGATTGTATGATTTATGTAACAGGTTATTAATGAGTCTTCCTCTAATCCTGATGCAACATAGTGACTCTATATTCTTTCCATCCTTGGATGTGTCTGTGTCATTTACTGTTTTGCCCATAGACTCCTTCATTATTGCTACGCAGGCTAAATCTGTTCTTTAGTTATTTTTTGAGAAATGCCAAGCATGTGTTTCCCTTTTGGTTTTACACAGGTCTTTTCACATTCTATTTCAGTAGAACACTTTGTCTTCTTGAGCCATCCTTTGAAGTCTTCAGTTGACCTCTCTGTATCATTTCTTCTGTTTGGTTAGCTCCTCTTCAGTCAGAAAACCCACTGCCACTGAGTTGATGCTGATTCACAGTGACCCTGCAGTACTGCATTGATGTGGTTTCTGGGGTTGTAACAGTTTATAGGAGGACATTGGCCAGCGTTCTTCCTAGGCATGACTGGTGAATTTGAACATCTTACCTTTTACTTAGCTACCAGGCACATTAATGGACTATGGTCCCAGGGTTCCTTCTTTAGTCAGACAGTACAGAATGATTCTGTACAGACTTTATAGAGAATGTACTCTGAATTTAGGAGCCGAAGAAAGCCACATAGAGATTTTTACACTGTGTAAGTGTGCTTTGCTCTGCAAATTTCTCTCCTTAATATCTAAAACTCAGTGGTGAAGAACATTGAGAGTACATGGCACCCTTGCTCCCTGAGTGCCCACTATCTCCATTCAGTAATGGGCCGATTTACATGGTAAGAGAGCCATATGTGTTGACTCCTAAGGGGGGGCTTGTTTCTGTGCATTGCCTCTGTGATGTGGTTGTTGTCATCTGATCTGCTGCTTGTTAAGTCCCATCGAGTAAACTTGGCGAATCATAGCAACCCTATGTACAATAGCTCTGAAGCCTATCCTATCCTGAGCCAGTCTCATTGTCTCTGACACACCTACCCCCATTAACCCAGTTACTGTGTCAAACCATCTCATCCAGAGTCTTCTTACGCTGTCCCTCAGCCCTTCCAAGCATGATGTTTTTCAAGGATTGGTCCCTTTCTGGCCAAATTATGTAAACAGAACTTCAAAATCCTTGCCTCCGAGGAACAACTTGATTTCATCCTCTTTAGAACAGACCTGTTAGTTATCGTTGCAGCCCATGGTATGTTCAGTATTCTTCTCCAGCACCACGACTCAAGGCATCGATTCTTCTGTCATTCTTAGTCATTGTCCAGCTTTCTGATAACATAGCAAGTAATTGTGAAGACCATGGCTTGGTTCAGGCACACCTTAGTCTCTAGATTCACCTCATTGCTCTTCAGCACTCTGGAGAGGTCCCTGACAGCAGATTTTCCCAGTGCATTTTGTCTTTTGATTTCCTCCTGACTGTTGGTGCCAAGAAAACTGATTGTGAAACCAAACAAGCTAAAATTGTTAAGAACTCAATTCTCCATCTAGCATGCTGCCAGTTGCCACAGTGTTTTGTTTTCTTTATGTTGAGCTTCAAACCATATTAAAGACGGCAATCCTTAAACTTGTGCAGCAAATGCATCAGGTCCTCCTCAGTTTCAGCAGGTATAGTACAGCTTATTGTTGAGTCATCCTCCAATCCTGATGCCACATTCTTCCTCATAAATTCAGCCTCCCAAATGATCTGTTGTCTGTATAGATTGAAAAGCTATGGAGACTGGATACATCGCTGACAAATACCTTTTCTGATTTTGAACCATGCAGTGTTTCCTTGCTCTGTTCTGACTGTTGTCTCCTGGTCCAAGTACACGTTTCACATAAACACACAATCAAGTGTTCTGGGATTCCCATTCTCCTCAAGGTTAGCTATCATTTTTTGTGATCCATGCAGTCAAATGTCTTTGCATAGTCAGTGAAACACAGATAGATAACTCCTCTGATACTCTCTGCTTTTAGCTCAGATCCATCTAGCATCGGCTATGATTTCCCTAATGCGAAATCCACTTCTAAATCTACATCTGGCAGTTCCCTGTCAATTGTTTTTGGATAATCTTTAGTATGTGGGACACCTATTTTACATAGTCTGGTAGAACTCAGTAATTAATTAATTTGAGCATCAGGGAAGAGACCACGGTGTGGGTACCTGAATCTCAGCTGTATATTCTTTCACTTGCAGAAGATGGTCGAAAGCCAAAGGCAGAATGTACTGACAGAGTTTGAGCGGCTTCGCCGCCTCCTGGTGGAAGAGGAGCAGCAGCTACTGCAGAAGCTGGAGGAAGAGGAGCTGGAGGTGCTACCCCGGCTGCGGGAGAACGCGGCCAGGTTGGTGCAGCAGAGCGCCGCACTTGGGGGGCTCATTGCTGAGCTGGAGGGGCGCTGCCAACTCCCCGCGCTGGGGCTGCTGCAGGTGAGCCACCTGGAAGTTACTGGAATGGGGCAGGGCAGGAGGGAACCCTGCTTGCCCATTAGACCTTTGCCCATCTCTCTATGAGTAAGCAGAGAAAGCGTGCGCTAGGCCCTGCTGCATGGCAGGCACTCTTAGGGGTGTGATGCCAGGACAGCTGCCAGTGGGCATTGGTCATGTGAGGGTACTGGAGCAGAGAATGCTGTCTTTGTGATGAAGTGTGTCATGTGAGAAGAAGGAGTTAAAGCCCTTTCTAGGGCTGAGATGAGTGTTATCTTGTGGGGAGAGTCATACCCTACACACCGTGCCTGGCTGGACCTTGTCCTCGCCTGTTAAAATGAAGGGGATGCAGGCTATAATTGCCATTTTTACCACCAAAAGAAGTCCTTTTGTGCTAAAAGAAGAAAATTCATTTTCTTCTGTAAACTCACTGAAACTCATTGCCATTGAGTTGGAACTGATTCATAGCTGACACTTCAGTGGCTTTTCTGAGGCTATAAATTATACAGAAAGACACTGCCCGTCTTTCTCCACCTGATCTGCTTTGGATTCAAACTGCCAAAAATATGCCACCTTTGAGTCAGCAGTGCACTTCCCTACAGACTGTGCCATCAGAGCTCCCAGAGTTTCTCTATAGACTCAAAGAAGTGGCTGGTTTTTCCCTAAGTCATATGACTCATTACTTAGCTCATCTTCGTGCTTGCAGAGACAAGTATGGTTATCATCTGTGCTAGTGAGTAGCAGAGACTATGGACATTTTGTCCCTTCTGTGCAGTCTACAGGAGGAGGGCATGTGACATACTTAAGCTTTGGGAAATGCTAACTTGAGCGTGAGGACTCCTGTGCCCACTGTTCAGGGCCTCCTTTGGGCTTAGTTTGGGCTGTGCGGTGAGCCAGCATTCTAGGGATTTGGCACCAGGGAGTGCTCTGCCTGTAACCACTAGGCTTGAGATGGTGAGAAGGAGGGGTGGCAAGAGGGATGAGAAGAGAGAAATGCTCATCTTTCTCACTTGTCTTCCATTCTCCTCCAAGTACAGAGGAAAAGGAGACAGAAAGACAGACCTGGCAACATCTGTGGGCTTTCACTCCCAAATCCCTTCTGCTTACTCATTTTTGGTGCACTGGCAGCTCTGTGCTCTGCAGGCCTGTCTGCAGATGGTTTTCATCTTCCATTCCCGTCCATCCGGCATCACTGCCTCTGCCTCTGCCCTCAGCAACTTCTCCCAAGGGTGTGGCCCTCTGCTCTGGGAACACATGGGAACTTTCTTTGGCAGTGCCCTTAAGGCAAAACTCCAGGATCTCCAAGTCCAGAGGCCATTTTCAAGAGGATGATGACAAGTGCTTTTTATCTCAGTACTTTGGTTTTGCCAGGATAAGAATGTGGACTTTACAGGCCCTGATGACGAGGGAATGTGTTCAAAGCTCCCAGGAGGACTGAATGCACAGTAGGGGCTTTATTTGTTTTTATCCAGACCTGCATCTTGTCTGTCTGGACGCTTCACTCAGCAGGTACAGTGAAGACTTTCTGTGTGTCCCATGCTCATCTTGTGAGGGTTGATGCCATGCTTGGAGTGATTTAGGCCCTCACCTTGGGGTCAATGGGCAGTGATGGAGGGTGACAGTGTGCTGTGGGTGTGGTGAGGTGCCCAGGACCCTTGGAGATGCCCTAATGGATGCCACCCTGACCAGGCTTTCAGAGCTGGGCTAATGTTTCGGAAACCATGAAAGACCTCACAGCTGCCTGTCCCTGAGACTCTGACTTAATCCAGAACACTTTGCTGAGTCACCATGTGGTTTTTAGCTTGGGACTCTCAGCAAGTCTAGAGGCTGGATAAGAGAAGCCCAGAGAAGAGGTCCGTTCTTGGGTCTCAGATGCACTGAGATTCAAAGTACTGGGCTGAGGAGGGAGAAAGCAGTGGAGAAAGTGGCACCAGACAAAAGTTAAAAGATGGAACAAGCTGCTGAGAGGAAGTCAGACCTGTAGTGAAGGTGTCGTTTGGGTTCACAGCCAGGTTGTCTCAGCTGAGTGGTCTGGTCCAGCCTCCTCTTCTACAGTAGAAACTCCCCACCTCCACCAAGCCTTTCCCTCCACCTGTGACCCTTAGGTCTCAGCTCCTTGGCGATCCTCTGCCCGTCTGTCTCTGACTGAAGAGTAACTCGGTGGAGATACATCTTTTCAGGTGCCCAGCTTCCAGGCTTCTGGGGAAGTAAAGGAAGGGACAGCCAATGGCACGCACTATTCCCATAGGAGTATGACTTAGCAGTGGAGGGAACTGCAGGGTGACAAGAGGCAGGAGATTATACAAGTCCTTCTTGAGGGAGATGGAATGCAGGCTAGATGTCAGAGGGAGTTATCCACGGCTTTACACATGATATTTTGTAGTTCTTGAATTTATGAGGAAATGAGGCCTCGTAGGGCCAGATGGATGTTCAAGAGGCCAGAGGTGCAGGGGTGAATGAGGCAGGAAAGCTGTAGTATAGTACAGGATGCTGTATTCCTAGCTAAGAAGCAAAATGGCCCTCTCCCTGCTCTGTGAGCCTCACTTCGCTGTCTTACCTGGTCCCAGGCTAGTGCCTGGACTGCATGAGGGCAAGGCAGAGCAGGACAGCAGTCCCTGGGTAGCACTGTCCATGAGAATGCACATCTGCTGTGTCCACCCTCAGTTATCAACTGCGTGAGGCACAGAGGCTGAGATCCTGACTCTGTTGGTACACAGCCTCATGGATGCCCTTGGGGTGAGGCAGGGCTTAGGATAACTTCCCGGTGCCCAGCCCCTGAGTTGCAGCCAGCTGCTGCCTCTCGGCCTTGCAGTTGCTGAATGATTTTACAGAAAGAATGTGTGTCCAGGTCACTGCCCTGCCTATAATGCCCATAGTCTCTGTGGAGGGCTCTCTGTCCCCTATATAGGGAGAGGACTGGGTGTGCTTGTCCTCAGTGAGTCCGGGATATCATTGTCACTAAACTCCATAACGTGGCTTTGTCCTATGACAACCCACTTCGCCCATTCCAGGTACCCTTGGGCTAACCCTCTTTAAAACCACGACAGATAGGCATGTTTGCACCCCAGGTCCCATGGCCAGACATGAGACTCAGGCTCCCTCTACCAGGACATCTTTTATTTGTCTAGAGTGACCTTACTTGAACTCAAAAGAGTCAAGGGCTTTCCTTTTTCTCTCAGACCTTCAGAGCCCCCCTCTTTAGCAGACAGAAGTAGCTTCTGTGTGTTACAGCCTTCCTTTCACTGTGTCTGCTGCCTGGAGGATACTTTGTCTGGAGTGCATCTTGACTCTGATCATCGCAGTATTTGACACGGCAGCAGGAGCTCTGGGCTTAGCACTGCCTGGGCATCCTAGTGGACTCCCTCACTTTCATTCATTTGACAGATTGATTGTTGAGTCCCTGCTGTGTGCTTGTCATGCTTCTGAATACCAAGGACATCTCAGGGGACATAGAAAAAAGGCCTCTTCCCAAGGAGTGAACATGATAAAGAAAGAAAGAAATGCTATCATGGGAGATACATGTTATTGACAAGACCAGGGAAGGCTGTATGAAGCCATGGGCTGACACTATGTGGAGCGGGAGGCTCTTAGAACAAGCTGAGTGAGTGAGCCTATGAGGCAGGCAAGGGGAGTGCGGGTGGTGAGGCGGCTCAGGGGTGGGACTCCAAGAGTCACTCAAGGTCGCTGTGACACTGGTTGAGGTCTCACCATAAACACAGTGGTGGCCCAGTCCTGCCTCCCAACAAGGGTGCTGCTGTCTGGGGGTAGAAACCAGAGCACTCAGCCTTTTTGGTCACTGAGGGACCCATACTTGAACACCCAAGTCCTCCAGGCCATGTGGAGATAGTCTAGATCAGGCTCCTCGAAGCTCACTTGGTACCTCCAGGAACCTGTGCCCACTCGGTGCAGTTGCCTGGAACCATCTCTCCAGAAGTAGAGATGAGACTGAGGAAATCTTGGCTTTTCAGCTGTGTCTGGAGGAGACCCAGAGTGGTTTTCTGGTGCATCTGTATTTCTGATGCCCAGGGCTCAAGGAGGTTAGGAGAGAGGAACAGGGGACCAAGTTTCAGGGAGGGCTCCATGGGACTGGGTGCTGGTGGTGCGGTGGCACTGACTGCCACATGTATCTCTCCCCACAGGACATCAGGGATGCCCTGCGCAGGTATGACCCCCCTCTGCCCTTCCCTGGGAAGGTGGGCTGGGTGCGGGTGGGGGCTTGGTCCCAAAAGGTGACACCTGTCCTTTGCTCTCAGGATTCAAGATGTGAAGCTGCAGCCGCCAGAGGTGGTGCCCATGGAGCTGAGAACCGTGTGCAGAGTCCCTGGACTGGTGGAGACCTTGCGGAGATTCCGAGGTAGGTGAGGGGGCCTCTCAGCTCTGTCTGTGCTTCTTGGGGAAGGAAGGACTCAGAAGAGTTTGAGGAAGGTTTAGTCAGATACTAAAAGAGAACATGGACCAGCCAGTGCATCATGGTGGACTCATGTTGGTCTCAGGTGCAAAGTCTGTCCTCAGTCATATTGGCAGACTGAGTGCTTGGCTCTCCTCAGCTTGTTGAGGTGAAAGCTAAGAGAAAGCAAACTCAAGATCTTTAGGTCAGGAGCCTCAACATTCGCACCTGCTAAGTTTAGGAGAGGACCTTGACAAATCACTTGGAGGGTGAACCTCCCACCTCTGACCTGGTATCCATCCTATGTCAAAAAGTGACCATGTGTAACATGGGTCTTTTTATACTGCGGGGGAAGCTGGGGTTTACAGACTAGAAGAAGAAACTAAAAAGCTGCCAGACTTTTGTGGTTACACTGAGTTCCAACTGTCATTGGGTGGCTTTTCCCCCAGTAAAGCAAAAAAGGGAAATAGCTCACTAGGATGATCCCATGCCTTGTCCAGAGTCTCTCTGGGGAAAGGAGGCTGTGAAAGTAGACTTGCTAAGAAATGAATGTGGGCTGCCTTTTTTGGGCTTTTTGGGGAAAGGAACAGACAGCCTTTCAGTACTGTATACTTATTACCTGTGTTTGGAGATGCTGGGGTCACCTGGGACTCTCTCTGCAGGGGATATGACTCTGGATCCAGACACTGCAAACCCTGAACTAGTGCTGTCTGAGGACCGAAAGAGTGTGCGTCGGGGCAGCGTACGACAGGCACTCCCCGACAGCCCTGAGAGGTTCGACCCCGGCCCCTGTGTGCTGGGACACTCAAGGTTCACCGCAGGACGCCACTACTGGGAGGTGGAGGTTGGAGAGCGGGCCAACTGGGCCCTGGGCGTGTGCAGAGAGAACGTCAACAGGAAGGAGACAGGTGAACTGTCAGCTGGCAATGGCTTCTGGATCCTGGTCTTTCTAGGGAGCTATTACAACTCACCTGAGCGGGCATTTGTCCCCCTCCGGGACCCTCCTCGGCGTGTGGGGATTTTTCTAGACTATGAAGATGGACACCTCTCTTTCTACAGTGCAACTGATGGATCACTCTTATTTATCTTCCCTGAGACCTCCTTTTCTGGGACGCTCCGGCCTCTCTTTTCACCACTGTCAAGCAGCCCAACCCCTTTGACCATCTGCCGGGTTAAAGGGGGGCCCGGAGATGCAACAGTACCTTAGCATTGTGCCTGGCCGTCTATAAACCCCCATGTATGTGCAGTACCTTGCAGGGGCTTCCCTTTGCCCCTCACAGCCTCGTACCATCTTCTGGACTCCTTGGAACACGTATGAGGAAGGAGCGTGTCCTTTGTGCTGATGGGAGGAATCTCAGTACGTTTCTGAAAGTACATAGTGAAACATGGACTCTGATGTTTTTGGAAGGTGCATCATGGGGGAGGGTGGCAGAGGTGTATGTGTGTGTCTGTACATCGAGGGTGGGGTGAGGCAGGCGGCATGGCCTTGATCCTCCCTGTTTTACTCTCCAGACACTTATTCACCTGTGTTTCAGAGCAAGAAATTGATCCTTAGGCAGGACCATCATACAATGTTGAGCATCCTTGCCAGCAGCTTTATCTCTTGCCAATAGCTTGATCTTTCTGGCTCTTGGGCCTAGCCTGTGGCCCCAAAGAACTCTCACCAGCACAACTAGGCTGCTTTGAAGGCCAGAGACATCAAGGCCCTAAAAATCTGCTATCGTGGCTCTAGGGTTGCAGCCCCACTTGGCTGAGTGCCCCAGCAGAAGGATGTGTGCGTGGGAGGAGTTGGCCCCGGGCCTGCTTGCTGACCTCAGGGTTTGTCCTTCCGAGAGGGTTGGTCAGAATGCCTCACAACACTGGATATGATTAAGGTACAGCAGTTGGAGTCTCCAGGGAAGGAGCTTTATGGGAAAGCTAAAGAGCAAGAGGATGTATGGATGAAGTCCTTGAACAGAAGGGCCGAGTCACTAGGACAGCCAGGTGCTCTTCTGTGTGGGTGCCCACATACAGAATGTACTGACCAACTGGGTGCCTTCCGGCCCTTACACGCACAAGTTCCCATGTGTTGGGTCTGTGGGATCCAGAGGCAAAACCAAAACACATTGTATGTCATCGGGTGGCTTTCTAACTTAGTTTTATTTGAGGGGTGTCCTGATGCATCCCTTAACCTTGCCCTGACACATTGTTTTGCTATATCCGTCAGGAACTAGCCAGGCACAGGTCTCTGATGGCAGTCCATCCTCACATTCTGAGCCCTGTGTTGGCGTCGTCATCCCGTGTGTGTCTGTCCGTGTCGTGTGTGTGCCCCCCACGCCCACCCCTGTGCTGCTTCATCAGCTGTAAACCTGGGAAAGAGATTTCCCTTTACTGTTTCCTTGGTGACGGCGAGGGATGTAGTGATAATGACTGCAGTCCATAGTGATCAGTGTAATGCTGTCTGTCCCTCAGGACCCTGGATTGAACCAGGCTGGCACCAGCTTCAAAACTAAGGTCGAGGCTTGGAGATGGCTCATGTTGCGAGTTAAAATTCCTGAACTCTCCCTCACACAGGGCACGCTGCTGAGCATTTGGCCAGGTCCTCTTCTCCAAGGAGGGAATGGGGGCCTCTCCTGTGCCGTCTCCCCTGGTGGAGGAGGAATGGCTGCAGAGAGCCCTGCTATGTCCAGAACCCACCAGATTGTCTTGTCTTTGGGGTTTCTTAGCTTCTCTTTTTACTCTTATTTATTACAAAGACTATTCTAACATTAAATAAAATTAACCCTTTCTCTGAAGTCCTATACATTGTTTATCTGCTCATTGAGTCGTGATTATCTTTCAGTACTTCATTCTGTTATGACTCATAAGGTTTTTGACTAGTTTTCGGAAGGAGATTGTGATTTGAAAGTTTACAAAGAAATTGGTTTGTCATTCACCCACTTAGACAGATTTATCCCCTCTTCATTCCATAATGCATGTCTTGTTCCAGGTTAATTACATTACACATATCTGATTTTATGTTCTTTCCAGAATGACCTTCCTTTCACCTATTCCAATGCAATGTTCATTTATCCATTCTTGCCCTGCCTTTCCTGCCTTTGCTCTCTGTAGCCCTCTGATTTTTATAACAATGGTCTTAACACAGTATTTGTCCTTTTGTTTTTTGTTTTGTTTTTATTTTTTTATAAAATTTTTTTAAAATCTTTTTTTAAATTTTATTATTTTTTTGTGTGTGTACCGTCAAATCAGATCTGACTGGTACAGGAGATTGTCCCTCCTTCCTCGGCAGAGCATCTGGTGGATTCGAACCATGTGCCTCTGGGATCACAGTGCAGCAGTATTTGTCCTTTTGTGACTGAGTTACTTTACACAACATAATGTCTTCTAGACTCATCCATGTTGTATGTTTCACAAGTTCTTCATTGTTTTTCAATGCTATGTAAATATACAACAGTTTCTCTATCCATTCATTGGTTGGTTGGCACTTGAGCTGCTTCCATCTCTTTGTTATTGTCAGTAATACTGCAATAAACATGGGTGTGCATACTCAGTCTGGAACTTTAAAGGTAGTCACTAATCACCTGTTGTGACAGCCTTAAGAGGAAGAGGGCATACACAGAGCTGCTCCAATTACTGCTTTCCATTAAGGTCTGCTTTGCATTAGAACAAAGCTGGACCCAGTTAAACTGGCTTTATAGTTCTTATTGCCAAGCACACAGCACTGAATTTTTACTTTGCAGATGTTCCAGCCACTGTAGCTACTGAGTTCTCATTCTATACCGGGCACCTCTTTCTAGGAGCTAAGGAAAGAAAGAGAAGTGAGCATTACTCCTGCCTTACAGAGCTGACCTCTTAGAGTTGTATAAAATGAGCGAGAGAGCATGCGAACGACCACATAGGACAACCTCTTAACTCCACTAGAGGGAACTGCCTCGTCATCAGCTTTCACAACACAAAATCACTTCCCATACAGTCAGACATGCCACTATGCTCCCTCATGTATTACTACTGATGCCAGCCACAATCCAACTGTTGTACTAGGTCCAAATTACACTGCAATAGCTACACAAACTTGAGAAGCATACTAACAATTATGGGCTTTATTAGGGAAGTTAACAAATTGCAACTCAGGTTGGCAAAAGGATTCAATTACTTAAGATAGCTTCTGAAGTTGCTCACAGGTCCTTCAACCTTCAGCTTTGTGGTTCTCAATACAGTGTTTAAAGCTCACCTCATGCCAAGTAAGGCATCTCCCCTGCTCAAGTCCTGCAAGTCTGGATGAAGGGTCAACTCTGTCAGGCCTCTGCCTGTGGCTGCTGCAAGAATCTCTCTGGTCCTGAAGCATGTGCATTGCATTCTGTTTCTTTGCCAGTAATAAGATTCCCTAATTTCTGCTGCTGACCTGTTCAACTTAAACCTTTTAGAATGACAAAACTAGCCAACCCTTTGCCAGATAGAGTAACGCATTCTGTTTGCATGTTTCCACTCAACCACCTGGCAAAGGGCAAAATGGCCTAGGAAAGCCATTTTGAATAGATCCACAATACAGCAGGTTGTTGTTTACCTAAGAGGCAGAACTGACCCTCCAACAAATTTTCAGAGGCAGAGTAAGTAGCTCAAGAAGAGATTGGCCATTCTCCCAAAGAGCAGCTGGTGGAACTGATTTGTGTGCCTTTGGGATTGCAACAGCTTCTTACCACTAGAGCACCATATTCAAGAGGTAATAATCTAAATGATATCTTTTCAGTTACTCCCTAGGCATCTGAAAGTTGAGCAGTGACAAGATTGACAGAAGATGCCTTTCAGCTGTGGTGGTGGGGAAAAGTACTGAATATCCCAAGGACTACCAAATAAACAAATAGGTCTTGGAGAAAGTGCAACTAGAGGGTTTCTAAGAGACAAGGATGTTGAAAGTTTGTCTTACATAATTTGGACAAAATGTTAGGAGGGGCCCATCCTTGGAAAAATGATATACTTGGAAAGTAGAGGGTCAGCAAAGGAGAGGAAGACCCTCAAAGGAGATGGATTGGCACGGTGACTAAGATAATGTCAGAGATAATGAAGATGGCACAGGATAAGAGCGCTCAGATCGATTGTTCATTGGTTCGCTAAGAATTGTATTAACACTAGTTCTGGAGAAATAATAATCGGGGAAATAGGAAGAGCAAGGGCAGACAGGAGTGTTGCTACAACAGTGCTTGAGCCTAGCACAATTTCAGGCCTCTAAAGCCCTTCCTTTCCCTGTAGTTCAGCTTGGAGATTGGAGAAGTAAAAAAAACAAGACACCCCAGAAGCATTCTGAGTTGTAATTAATGTTTACAGAGAAGAGAAATAGGATGATATGGTGGAAAACTTACAGAGGGGTGGAGAAAACTACTAGCAATACAACATTGGTTTAGTATGGAATCCAAAATGGTGCAAATGGTTAAAACTGTTAAATGCTGGAATACTAATGGAAAGGTTGGTGGTTGAAACCCACTCCAGCACCTCAGAAGAGAGGCCTGACTGATGATGGTGAAAAGTCACATCCTTGAAGACCCTGTGGAGCAATTCTTTTCTGCACATAACAGGTCGCCCTGAGTAAAAATCGCCTGGAGGGTAAGTAACATACAGTAAAAACCAACAGAGCCCTGTCAGGGCATAGTAAGTTATTCATTCCCTTCCGTTCACTTGCACTGTTTCTCATTTCCTGTTGAATTTACTAGAATGAGTTAAAAGTAAAGGATCATTTTCAGATGTACATATTTGGCACATCTACTGCAAGTAATTTTAACCACAGCACTATGTGCTATACGAACGGCCCACTTTTCCGTATTGAGATCGCAGGTACAGAAAGGTAGATGTAAACTGGAATAAAATTGGAATTTAAAATACCGTTTTATTAAGGTATGATTTAACATACTACAAAATCTACTTATTTCAATTGTATATACTTCAGCAATATTTTGACAAACGTATGTAATGAGCAGCAGCCCCCCAGCAAGACCCTCATGCACATCAGCCCCCATCTTCCTGGCGGCAGACCCCCGCCATCGGAACCAGCGCGCAGTGCTCGGTTGGGCTGGGCGTTCGCCCTAGGCTTTCCCAGCTGGGACCGGCCTCCACCCTCATTCGCCGCGGACCTGGGGCGGGGCGGCCGCAGGGCCCCTCCCGCCTCCCGGAACGCGAAAACGAAACCTGGTCCGGCTGCGCCATGGCCTCGCGGAGCTTGGCTCGGGACCTGCAGGACGAAGCCACATGCCCCATCTGTCTCGACCTCTTCTCCGAGCCTGTGTCCCTTGGCTGCGGCCACAACTTCTGCCGTGCCTGCATTGACCGTAGCCGTGGCATCGGGGACGCGCCCTTCCTGTGCCCCGAGTGCCGCGAGCCCTGCGCGCCCCACAGCCTGCGGCCCAATCGACCGCTCGGGCGAGTGGCCGCTGTGCTGCGGCGCCTGGGGCCGGCGGGGGGCCGCGGGGGGCCGTGCGAGCTGTGCACTGAGCACTTAGAGCCGCTGAAGCTCTTCTGCCAGAACGACTACAGCCCCATCTGCGTGGTGTGTGACCGCGCCCGAGAACACCGAGGTCACCACGTGGTGCCCCTAGAAGAGGGGGCGCAGATTTACCGGGTGAGCACAGGGGACCCTCGCCTAGTCGCGCCTCAGGCCCCGCCTGAAGACCCTCTGCTTCGGCCTCTGCCCCACGCCCCGCCCGGTTTCCCTGCAAGCCTTGCCTGCAAGTGACTTGGCGGCTTGCCCACCCCTTGTCCGGGCTCCTCCATTGCTTCCCTGACCCTCCTTGCCTGCCCCCTCTATTCCTACCGCTCCCCACTGAACCCTGCTTTTCCGCGAGGCTGGAACCTCATTCTCCCAACTCTAACCTCGTCACCTTCCTCCCAAGCCCTCACCCAGTTCCACCCCTCTAAGCTCCATACTAACAGGAGGGACTCTACCATCTGTTAAGTACTCCTTTTGGGTCAGACTCTAATCCTGACCCCGCTGCATCCACTTACTATTTTGTAGTTCAGACCTTGTATACAAGGGCATCCACACGTACGCACACAACACCCCCCAAGCACCTCCACATGCTGTACTGCACACACATACCTACTATCTGGCCTTACCTCCCTTCTAACAGCATCCTCAACAGACTGCCGAAGGTAAGCTCCAAGAATGCCAGGCTGTTAAAATTACGTGAACCCTGGCATTCTACTCCAGCCAATGACAATAGCTCATTCACTTACCTGGCACCCGCTGCTTGCCAGGCTTTGTTCAAGCTTCTTTACATGTATTAATTGCAGCTAATCTTCTTAAAAACCACATGAGATAGGAATTAATATAATTTCCAGTTTTTAGATAGTTAAACAGAGGTACTGAATCATTTCATGCCTTTTGTCAGCAGGGATTCAAAAACAGCTGGCTCTAGAAGAATTGCACCTTTATATACATTTTTTTCCTCAGTAAATTGAAGGTGTTTGCCCCCTCCTTCATTCAGATAAACAGATAAACATGAAACCCACAGGGGAAAAAAAATTTAACAATGTTGTGCATTTAACACACTTCACATTTTTCCATATATTAATTCTCATTCTCTTAGATTCTGTCAGGAACTATACAGAGATGATATATATATATATATCTCCATATAGTTAAACACCTACCATGTCAAGGTGATGCACTTTGACCCCTTGGTTCAGGTGGCGTCTTCTTGAGCTCTCTGTTGTATATTTTCCCCACTGTATTGAACAAGCCATCTATATGATGATTCTTTGCGGCTGTGTGCTTATATCCTGTTTACCCCATGGTTTTAACAGGCATTGATGCATGAATGTGCCCTTGGGGAAAAAAAATCATTTATTTGACATTTATTAGTATTTTTCTGTAAAGAACAGGTTTTCCTTCCCAAACACACCCTTTCTTTTGACTATCATTATGGAGTCATGAATTTATTAACTTAATATGTTTTGCAGAAGAAGGTGGGTAATCTCCTCCTGTGCAATCAGCTGCCTCTGAAAACCCGCTTTCGATTGGTTCAAATTCTGTGGTACACAACAAGAACAATATATTTTAATCTGTTCTTGGTTTTGACACTTAAATTGTTAGTTTGACTAAGAGTAGATCCTTCTAAGCCTGTGTTTTTCTGATGTGATTTCATTATTTTAGTAGCCCTCAGTGCCAAACTGTCCTCATGGTGCACCACAATATATGTCTTCATTTCTCAAGACCAGACCTGGAATCTGTCACTTCCCTTATGGGAAGTGGTGTTCAGCAGGAACAGGTCTGGGTGGCAGTTGTGCTCATTGCTACTTGGATTTGATAGATTCTTAGTTCTTGCCTCTCTTTCACTGACCTCTTATGTTCCCCAGCATGATATCTGAGAAGACCCCTAAGGAAATAGATTGACACAGTGACTGCAGCAATGGATTCGAGTATGTTAGAGCTCACGATGATGGCACAGGATTGGGCAAGATTTCAATCTGTTATTCGTAGAGTCACTCTCAACAGCACCTAACAACAAGCCTTTGCCAATAACCCTAGTGATTAGGTACCCTCAGCTGTTAACTGAATGTTCAGCAGTTTAAACTCACTCAGCTCCTCTACAGGATGTAGCCGTCTGCTCCCAGAAAGACTACAGGCTAGGAAATCCTACAGTTCTACTCTCATATAGTAATATTGTTAATCTTAATGAACTCAAGAGCACAGAACAACAGACCCTTTTCATTTGCAGAATTATTATTATTGTTGTTGTTGTTGTTGTTAGGTGCCAGCCAGCTGACGGTATCTCATCACAACCTGATGAACAACAGATGAACTTTGCCTGTGCCATTCTCATGATCTCCTCCAGGCTCGAGCCCATTGTTCTAGTTATTGTGTCAATCTATCTTTCACTTTGCAGAATTAGGAGAGTAGATAGATAGATAGATAGATAGATAGATAGATAGATAGATAATCAGAGCTCTCTATATAATATGTATGTATATATAACTTTGAAATCATGAGTTCATACTGCTGCCATCTTCTATCCAAACTCTACTCAGCAAAGATTTTTACCTTCCTGCACAATTGAGTCTTCTCCAAAGGGTGCTCATCCTTCATCTATCTCTGGGACCTAGCCCTTACTAAATGTTTGTTGGATGAATAGATGAGAAGTAACTGTAATTTTCTTCTTTTCCCTCTGCCCTGATCCTGAATGAAATACCTATTTAAGGAAGCATTAACCTCCCTGGTCTCTCTTGTAGGAAATGTTTCCAGAGATCCTGGAAAAATTGAGGAAAGAGATGAAAAAGGCTCTGAAGCTGCAGGCTGAAGGAGTGAAAACCTCGGAAGCTTGGCAGGCAAGTAGCCAGGCCAGCCTGGGAAGCATGCCCACTTAATGGGACTTACTCTCCGCCTGGTACCTGGAATCTCAGGAGGATCAGCTGGGGCAGCAGCACAGACCAGTCAGGAAGCCCACTTAGAATCAGGCACCTCGCTGGGTGGTTAGAAGTTTAGCAGTGGATGGATTTCAGACACTGGCTGCAAAGCTATGGGTTAGATTGACTAATATACTTCAGCTTTCATGAGAAAGCCACTATTAGGAGGAATTCTTTTGTGAAAAAGGAAAATGATTGTCATGTTTTTTGGGGAAATTACATTAGAAGAGGATCGTACTTAGATATAGGGTTATAGTGCATATTCTAGGGTGCTCTGGTGGCCTAATGGTTAGGGAGATGTGCTGCAAGCCAAGCAGTTTGAATCCACCAGCTGTTCCACAGGAGAAAGATAGACAGTCTCTCTTCCCATGCAATTTCCAGTCTCTGAAAACCTACTAAAGGGTCAGTCATAAGTAGATTCTAACTTGACAGAAATGATTTTGAGGTTTTTAAGTGCCTATTTTATCCAGGGCTTAGCACCATTATTGACCAATACTCTATAAATAAGAATTTTTAATACCTTACTCTCAAGCACACAGCCAAGATCCATCTGATGTTAGCAATGATGTCCGTAGTGCCACAGCCTCTTCTAAACCAAGTTCATATTTGGCAGTTCTCCATTGATGTACTGTTGTAGTTGTTTCTGAATAATCTTCAGTAAGATTTTGCTTACATATGATGTTGTTGTTGTTGTTATGTGCTGTCGAGTCGCTTGCAACTCATAGTGACCCTATGTACAACAGCCCTAAACTCTGCTCTGTCCTGTGCCAATCGCAGTCTCTGACACTCGCATCCCAATTATCCCAGTCACTGAATCAATCCACCTCATAGAGGGCCTTCCCCTCCTGCGCTGTCCCTCTGTTCATTAATTTCCACATTGCACTGGATTGTCTCTTATGGGAACGGAGGTAAATATAGATCTCTTCCAGTCAGTTGGCCATTCTTTCATTGTTTTTGTTCAGACATTCCTCTAGGTCTCATAGCCCTGGTGTACAAGTTGCCGTCCACGGTCACTTGTGGTTGCTGTGAGGCAGAACACTGTGACACTGATGTGTCAAGTGCGTTAATGATTGGCTACCCAATGCAGACAGAGAATGGGGTGGAGCTCCCTGATTAAACAAGTTTGGAAGGAGGAGTGGCATCCACGTCCATAATAGCTTGCCTCCAGAAACCCTATGAACCTGGAGAGAGGATGAAAGGCACCCAAGTGTCAAGGACTCTCCTTCATAGGGTCGCTATGAGTCACCTGCGACTCAACAGCACTTAACAACAACAGCAGCAACAACTGGATTGTCTTTTATGGGAACGGAGGTAAATATAGATCTCTTCCAGTCAGTTGGCCAGGTAGCTGTCCTCCAAAGTTCTTGACCCAAGCTGATGAGCATATTTAAGGCTGAATCTGTCTGTTGAAATATGTCGAGTGGTATTCTACAATTCATGGGGCCTTATTTTTTGCCAATTCCTACAGAACAGCTTGAATTTTCTCCTTTACTACCATTGGTTCTTGATCATGTACTGCTTCCTGAAATGGTATTTGGTATAGTGACTCCATGTATTCCTTTCATCTTCTTCTGATGCTTTGTGATCATTCAGTATTTTGCCCATAGTATCTTTATTGCACACTTGAGCTTTGAATTTGTTCTTCAGTTCCTTCAGCTTGAGAAATGCCAAGCGAATCCTCTTCCCTTTTGATTTTTTTTTTTCACTCCAGCTCTTTGTACATTTTGTTAAAATGCTTGGCTTTGTCTTCACAAGCTGCCATTTGAAATCTTCTGTTCAACTCTTTAACTTCCTCATTTCTTCCCTTTGTTTTGGCTTTTCAGCCTTCAAGTGCAATATTCAGAGTCTCTTCTGACATGTGATTTGATCTTTCCTTCCTCCTCTGCCGTTGATGTCTATTTTGGTCTTCCTCCTCATTAGGTCTTCATTCATTACTGTTCAAGGCCTCAAATGTGTTCTTAAGATTATTTTAAAAATTCAGGTGAAAAAAAAATTCATGTGAGATAGACTCAAGGTCATAGTTTCATTCTTGTGAATTTTTTTTTATTTTTTCATTTTCTTTAGCTTCAGTTTGAACTTGCACATGAATAGTTGATGGTCTCTTCCACAATCAGCAGTGGACCTGTTTTTCACTGCTGATACTGAGCTGCTCCAGTGATTTCTAAAGGTCCATATATAGAATAGTCGTTTGTGGTTTTTTATAAAAGGTTATTTGCGGGAGTTCTCTCCTGTGCCATCCTTCCTATCTCTGATTTGTTGTTGTTTTTAGTTGCCCTCACATTGAGTATGATTCATAGCAACCCTAGAAACAACAGGTCTGAACCCTGTCATATCCTTTGCCAACCTTACAACCTCTGACACATTCTGACTGCAGCCCATTGCAGCACTCACTGCCTCAGTCAACCTGGTTGTGAGTCTTCCTCTCTTTCAGTCTTTCCACCTCTCCAGCATGATGTCCTTCTCCAAGGAAGAGCCCCTCCTAGCAACATGGCTAAAATATGTGAGACAAGGCCTTATCGTCTTTGCTTCCAGGGGGCACTCAGACTGTACCTTCTCCAAGACAGATCTGGTTTTTTTTTTGGCAGTCCATGGGATATTCAGCACTCTGCTTCACCACCGCATTTCAAAAGCATCAAGCCTTCTGTCATCTTTGTTCATAATTTAGCTCTCAGATGCATGACAGGTGATTGAATAGACCATAGCCTGAATCAAGCGCACCTTAGTCCTCAAGCTAACATCATTATTGCTCAATAATTTAGAGGAGTCCCTGACTGCAGACTTTGCCAGTGCAGTACCTCTCCTGATTGCTGATACCAAGTGTATTGATTGTGGATCCAAGTAAGATGAAACTATTGCCAGTTTCCATCTTTTCTCCATCCATCATGAGGCTACTTATTAGTCTAGTGGTGAGTATTTTTTTCTTCTTGATGTTGAGATACAATCATATTGTAATGTTTGATCTTCAGCAGAAATTCCTCCTCACTTTCAGCAACCATGGTTATGTCATCTGCATAACGAAGATGATGAATCTTCCTCCAATCTTGATGCCACATTCTTCTTCATAAAGCCCAGCTTCTTGAGTAATTTGTGTAGTATACAGAGTGATTAAGTATGGTGAAAGGATACAATTCTGCTGCCCATCTTTCTTATTTTTTAACCGCACAGTGTTCCCTTGCTCCGTTCTCACAAAAGCCTCTTGGTGTAGGCATACTTGAGCCCATAGTTACAGTCACTGTGTCAGTCCATCTTGTTGAGAGTCTGCCTCTCTTTCACTGACCCCCCACCTTTTTTTAAAAATTTTATTAATTTTAATGCACATTTAGAGATTTGGGGTTTTCATTCATTCATTGTTGCACTATTTTCTCTACCCTCCTCCCCAGTTCGTTCTTCTTTTTTCCCCCCCTTTGAAAGTCTGTTTTAATTGTCCAATTGCCACAGTGCTTGTCAAAGCCAGTTCTGATTAATCTCCCTTGTCAGTGTGTCCTTTGCCATTCCCTATCACTCCTCCTTGAGAGAGACTTCACCCTGATTCATAAGGAAAAGGGGACGGCGTATTCTCTTAACTACTTCCTGCCGAAAAGGGACGCTGTAGGTTTCAGGGTGAAGATCTTCTCTCACTACTCTAAAGGGCCCTTTTGGCAATAGGAAACACATAGACTGTTATGACCCTCCAACTTTTAAAGTGTGGTGTCTTTGACCGAAGATTGGCCCCTCTTAACAGCATGCCCAAACAATGTGAGAGAAAATTTCACCATCCTTTGCCTCTAAGAAGCACCCAACCTGCACTTTCTCAAAGACGTCTGGAGATTTAAGGTGAGCCTGATACATGCCATGGTCTTTGCAATCACTTGCTGTGCATCAGAGAGCTGAACAGTGACTAGGGATGATGGAAGGAGAATTGATGCCTTTGAGCTGCGGTGTTGGAGAAAAAAATATACCATGGACTGCTAGAAAAACAAACACGTTTGTCCTGGAAAGGGTGAAGCCGGGCCGCTCCTTGGAGGCAAGGATTCTAAAGCTTCGTCTGACATACTTTAGACATATTGCAAGGAGGGACCAGTCCTTGGCGAAGGACGTCATGATTGGGAGAGCTCAGGAGAGGAAGACCCTAGATGAGATGAATTTGCTCAGGACTGGGGTAGGTGTGTCAGAGATGGTGAGATTGGCACAGGATAGGGCAGAAGTTATATAGGGTCGCTATGAGTCGCAGGCGACTCGACAGCACATAACAACAACAGTTTTGACTCAGGGTTGTAATAGGATTCGGAAGTGTTGCATTCTACCCTAATCCTCCTAAAACTGTTTGCTTTATTGGGATCATAGCATAGCTTTTGTTAAATACACGTGTTTTAGGTAGGAGCACAATTTAGTTCATTATTCTAGAAACTGTCAAAGTCTGTTGTTGTGTGCCGTCTAAGTGATTACAGCTTAGCGACCCAAACTAGAACTTCCCCATAGTGGTCCTAGGTGGAAATCTTTATGGGAGTGGTTCGCTGGGTCTTTTCTCTTGTGAAGAAGCTGGTAGGTTTGAACATCTTGGGTTTTAAAAGAGGTCTGACGCCCAAATATGTCCTTTGGCTCTTGTTAAGAGCTTAAAATTACTGGACTTTATTCATTTACTTTCTTTTTTTTAAAATTATGGTCATTTGAACTCTGTACAGTGCTGCTGTTTTAGGTGTACAGTTCAGTGACTTTGTGAATTCACCATCACTGCAATCTAATTTTAGAACATTTGCATCAGCCCAAAAAAGAATCCTCGTGGCTATTTGCATTCATGCTCCACTCCTTCCCCTAACTTTAACCCCAGGAAACCACATTTACTTCCTTTCTCTTGGACATTTTATGTAAATCATACAGTACATGCTCTTTTTCAGCTAACTTCTTTCATAATGTGTTTGTGGTGGATTTTTCTGAGATTCAGA